TCCTGCCCACTCTGGGGTCCCGCATCTGTGGGGCCCATTTGATTCATCAACGCTCACCGCCTGCTGTGCCCACAACAGTCCATCCCTTCCTCAGTGCCCACCCTGGTCAGGGCTCTCTTGCCCCTGCTGACCCCACTCCACTCCGGCCTCCCCCTGCCTCTCCCCACCCCTACTTAGCTGGGGGGGAGCAGGGGAGCCTCCCTGGCACACAGCTCCCCCAACCACCAGAGGTGGGTTTGACTTTGAATAACAATACCACCACCCCACCCCAGGAACCCAGCAATGCTAGGTGGTTCCCTCCACCCCTGCAAAACCCTCCATTTGCCCACCAGGAGGATGAACAGCTGAAAACATCACAGGCCTCCAGCATCTCCTACACACACACACACACACGCCTACTGGGCTATTTCCCAGGGGCTTGAGTCCCCTTGTCTCCAAGGTTCTCCCTCACAGCCAGGTTGGCCTCTGTAGGCAGCGCCAGCGGTTCTGGTGACGTGGAGGGGGACATCCAGTTCCCCTCGATTTACCCGTGGCCCACCTTGCCCCTGATCCTTCAGGAGGGAAGCCCTCAGCCCAGGTGGAGAGGCGGCGAGGCCAGCCACCAGAATGGAGTCGACCAGGCAGATAAGGGTTTGCAGTTGCTTGTGGAGCAAGGCCCGGCCCTGGCAGCTGTAAGGGGCCAGGCCTTGCCAGGGAGAAGTCTCGGCATTCTCACCATACCAGCTCTACCCAGGAGGGTCATGGCATGTCACCATGCCGAATGGGAATCTATGCCGGCAACACCTGGCCTCGTACCCCCAGCCTCCCTGTAGGAGCCAGAGGGTCTGGTGATCCAGGCCCTGCAGGTTAGGGGGTGGCCCGCAGGCACTGGGCAGCCATGACAGAGGCGCCACCCTGCTGGCCTTCCTCTGGGAGGACAGCTTCATCTTTGGGCTCTCTGTGTCCTGAGGCCCTCCCCGTGGTTGCCTGCAGGGACCGTACCAGCCTGCCTGTGCCCCCACCCCAGCCCTACCAGTGCTTGGGACCTTGAAGGATCTGGGTTGTCTCTTGGCCTCCCACCCTTCCATAGGGGAGTGCTGGTTGTGGAGGTGAGAGTGGGGTCTCAGGAGAGGCTGGGACCAGGGGCACAGACTGCAGGTAGACCAGCACCACACCCACCACCCACACCGCTTCCAAGAAGTCCACACAGCTGGCTTGTCTTTACAGTGTGGCAGTCATCTGCTCTGTCCCCTCTCAGCAGTGTCGAGCTTAACGTCCGGGCCACCTCCACTCTCTAAGGCCATAGACCAGGTCCAGGCCCGGCCGAAGCTCGGCACCCGCGCCCAGCAGCAGCCACTACGCCTGAGCTCAGCCTGAGCGCAGCTCCCTCCTTGATCCCCCTCACGGCAGCTGGCCTCCCGCTCCCCTGACGACCCCCGAGGTAGATGAGTGCGCCCTAGGAGGGGAGAAAAGGTCGCTCACTGTTCCTTTATTATGGGAGGGGCAGTTCACAAAACACTTGGATTTCAATATTGTTTTATGCAAACCATTCCGTGGGCGCCACACGAAAAGTATCCACATTTTACAGACCCAGTCTTCCGGAGGGCCGGAGACTCGAACTTGCGTTCCTCCGTGGGATGCCTGGGCTTAGGACCCAGGGAGGCGGGCGAGGCAAGCGATTCCGTTCGCGCGCGGCCCTCTAGGAATTGTAGTCCGTGGCTGCGCGCTGGCCGCATCGCCGAGGCAACGGGGCGGCGCTGAGGACTGCGCTTCCCGGCATGCCGCGCGGCGCTCCTCGGCCCGGCCAGGCCACTCGGCCCGCCGACTCGGC